CAACAACAACAACAACAACAACAACAACAGTGGGTTAGATTTACCCAGAAGTTTGATATTATAGTTCTGTGGTGGCCAATCTGTGACACGCTTCCCACGGGTGACACGCAGAGCCCTCCCCAGCTGTCGTCAAAGCCCAGCATGCACGCGCGTGTCCTGCCAGCAAGCTGGTCTTTGGGTCTCCGCCGTGTATGTGCGGGAGGTGGGGCACATGTATGGGATGTGCGTGTGCATGCGTGGGAGCAGGACGCATGCATAGGGGCACTCACATTGCATTTTGGGGGGGCTCATGCAGTGCTCTGCACCCCGTTTTAGCTTCCAGGTTGGTGCCGGGTTTGGGTTATGGCTTTTGGCACACAACGACAAAAGGTTTAGTCATTGCTGCTATAGTTAGTGGGTTCATCTGAATATGTAGTAGTAGTAGTAGTAGTAGTAGTAGTAGTAGTAGTAGTAGTAGTAGTAGTAGTAGCATCATTATCATTATTTAAAAACAGAGTGCTTCGATTGTATTTTTATCCCAAATACAATTCTCGTTCAATTTTGACATTTCTCTGAATTTTGTAAAATTTGCAAAATTTGCCAGTTGGTCTGTAATCAGAAAATAGGATATTGTTCAAAAACAAAGGGATAGGATAGATAGGAAAAACATTAATCCCATTACCTCTTCCATCTTAGCCTGTGGAGAAGAATGGGGAATATTAAATATGCCCCATAAATTGCTATTCCCTTGAATCAGTCTTCATTTAATTGTAACTAAAATGTGTTCGGTTGAAGTAATCTATGACCAACCACTGAATAAAACATCCTGATTGTATCTTATAAAACCATCTGTTTTATTATGTTTAGAGCCGTTAGACATTTGCGTAAAAAAGACAATGAAAGCCTTTTACTAATAAATTTGTAAACGCTATATTTTTCCCCCAAAATAAATCTAGCTAGAATCTGTATGATTAGAAAGATTTAATCTCCCTCTGGTTCGCTATCATACAAATGAAGCATTCAGCACATAAATTATTTTTAAGTAATTAATATTCACAGGCAATCCAAAAGCCATGAAATACAGATTAAGGGCTGAGGAGAACAGTATGAGTTAATAATAGCAGATCAATCATTAATAAGAAGATTTTAAAAAGAAAAATAAAGTAGGATTACTCACCTCTGAGGAGTCTTTCTTCAAGTTTCCAAGACTGCTAGATTTTTGTAGAGCTGAACTTTGGGAACAAATTATAAGAAAAATAAGCAAACAAAAATTGAAATTTGGGTCTCATACATTCAATCAGTAATGGGGGCTCACTCCATTACGCAGCCCTAGGGATTCAAACCGCCGAACTGCTGACCTTTCTGATCGACAAGCTTAGTGTCTTAACAACTATATCATAATGTAATGTAATGTAATGTATAATATAGTATAGTATAGTATAGAGCAGTACAATACAATATATATTGCTATATTATAAATATAGTTTATAATATAGCAATATATACTATACTAAATACATACCTACTTCCCTGGCTCAGCTGATAAGGAGGAGAACCTTGTGGCTTAGTG